TAGGTCAACTGAGCCTCAAAAATGTGCACCTGGTGCGATGTGTAAACATCGCCACTGGGGAGACAAAGGCGGTCGGGCGTGGTGCCGGTCACCCACCCCCTCGTGTGCCGTGCCGGCCTTCATAGGTTGCTCGCAAACAGCACTTGCCCCAACAGTCTGCTGAAGGCTATACGGGAGGGGGGGGGGGGGTGTCTTTATATGTATGCCGGTGTGCGTGTGTACGTGAGGAGCGGTGGTGTAGCGGTTAGCGCGCTGCGCTACGAACCCGGCGACCCGAGTTCGATTCCCGTGCACGGCGAACACCCAGTGACGATTATCTGAACTGGTCCAGGGCCTCCCCTAGGTCAACTCAGCCTCAAATGAGTACCTGGCGTGGTGCGTAAAAACATCGCCACTGGGGAGACAAAGGCGGCTGGGCGTGCTGCTGTCACCCACCCCCTTGTGTGCCATGCCGGCCTTCATAGGTGCTGCTCGCTAACATCACTTGCCCCAACAGTCTGTTACAGGCAATACGGGGGATCTTTGTCTTTGGGGAGCGGTGGTGTCGCGGTTAGCGCACTGCGCTACGAACCCGGTGACACGAGTTCGATTCGCGTGCGGGGTCAACGTCAGCGGCGATTATCTGAACCCGTCCCTTGGGACGACTCAGCCTGAAATGAGTACCGGGTGCAATGCGTAGAGATCGCCACGGGGGAGACAAAGGCGGTCACCCACTCATCTTGCACAGTGCCGGCCTTCATAGGTACTCGCTAATAGTGGTGTAGTGGTTAGCGCGCTGCGGCGACCCGAGTTCGATTCCCTGCTCATGGCCAACACCAGTGACGATTATCTGAACCCCTAGGTCGACTCAGCCTCAAATGAGTACCTCGTGCGGTGTGAAAATATCGCGACAAAGGCGGTCGGGCGTGGTGCTGGCCACCCACCCCCTCGTGTACCGTTCCGGCCTTCATAGGTGCTCGCTAACAGCACTTGCCCCTACAGTCTGTTAAGGCTTTACGGGGGATCTTGATCTTTGTTTTTGTACGCCAGTGTGAGTGTGTGTACGCTGTATGTGTGTACGCTGTGTGGAAGCTACCTGGTCTGTCGCTCCACACGAAGCTTCAGGTCATCTCGGCCACGGTCATTCCCTCCCTTCTCTACGCCAGTGGACCCCCCGAATGGAACATTTATTCTGGCCTGCCTACGACCCATCCCGGGTTTCACCTGCAGGCTGGATTGTGTGAGGAGCTCACAAATCCTTGAAAGATATGGACAAAGTCCCATCGGTGAGCTCCTCTGGCAGGCAAGGCTGCGTTGGCTGGGTCATATAGCATGCCCAGCCACCGCATGCCTAAATAGCTTTTGTTCGGCTGGATCGAGGGGGCTAAACGAGTGATGTGGTACAGGAGGATGTGGATCTGAGTGGACTTGCCGATGACTGGTACTAGCGGTGTCAAGATCGGCCTCTGTGGAGGAGGCTCGTGAAGGACGCTACTGGGCAGTCGCCCTCCAACAACAACGGAGGGCGGAGGAGCGACGCTCACAACAACGAGCGGAGCGCCGGGTGGCTAAAGCACAGCAAGTTGGCACAGTAGGGGGCACAGGTGGTGCATCAGCCAGGCATCTTAGTCAGTCGACCCGTGGCACCTGGGTCTGCCCCGTAACCTCCTGCCAGCGGGCGTTCGTCACTTTACGTGGCCTCAACGTGCACATGGCCTGGCACAAGCGTCGTGGTGACGTCACCGCCACTTAGTGGCGAATGGCGGTTGTTGTTGTGTACGCCAGTGTGTGTGTGAGTGTGTGTGTACGCCAGTGTGTATGTGTGTATGCCAGTGTGTGTGTGTATGCCAGTGTGTGTGTGTATATGCCAGTGTGTGTGTGAGTGTGTGTGTGAGTGTGTGTGTACGCCAGTGTGTGTGTGTGTGTATGCCAGTGTGTGTGTACGCCAGTGTGTGTGTGTGTGTATGCCAGTGTGTGTACGCCAGTGTGTGTGTGAGTGTGTGTGTACGCCAGTGTGTATGTGTGTGCATGCCAGTGTGTGTGTACGCCAGTGTGTGTGTACGCCAGTGTTAGTTAGTGTGTGTGTATGCCAGTGTGTGTGTGAGTGTGTGTGTACGCCAGTGTGTGTGTGTACGCCAGTGTGTGTGTGTGTACGCCAGTGTTAGTGTGTGTGTGTACGCCAGTGTGTATGTGTGTGTATGCCAGTGTGTGTGTACGCCAGTGTGTGTGTACGCCAGTGTTAGTTAGTGTGTGTGTATGCAAGTGTGTGTGTGAGTGTGTGTGTACGCCAGTATGTGTGTACGCCAGTGTGTGTGTGTACGCCAGTGTTAGTGTGTGTGTATGCCAGTGTGAGTGTGTGTGTACGCTAGTGTGTGTGTGTACGCCAGTGTGTGTGTGTGTACGCCAGTGTTAGTGTGTGTGTATGCCAGTGTTAGTGTGTGTGTATGCCAGTGTGTGTGTGTGTACGCCAGTGTGTGTGTGTGTATGCCAGTGTTAGTGTGTGTGTATGCCAGTGTTAGTGTGTGTGTACGCCAGTGTTAGTGTGTGTGTATGCCAGTGTTAGTGTGTGTGTATGCCAGTGTTAGTGTGTGTGTGTGTATGCCAGTGTTAGTGTGTGTGTATGCCAGTGTTAGTGTGTGTGTATGCCAGTGTGTGTGTGTGTATGCCAGTGTTAGTGTGTGTGTGTACGCCAGTGTTAGTGTGTGTGTACGCCAGTGTTAGTGTGTGTGTATGCCAGTGTTAGTGTGTGTGTACGCCAGTGTTAGTGTGTGTGTACGCCAGTGTTAGTGTGTGTGTATGCCAGTGTTAGTGTGTGTGTATGCCAGTGTTAGTGTGTGTGTATGCCAGTGTTAGTGTGTGTGTATGCCAGTGTTAGTGTGTGTGTATGCCAGTGTTAGTGTGTGTGTATGCCAGTGTTAGTGTGTGTACGCCAGTGTTAGTGTGTGTGTACGCCAGTGTTAGTGTGTGTGTACGCCAGTGTTAGTGTGTGTGTACGCCAGTGTTAGTGTGTGTGTACGCCAGTGTTAGTGTGTGTGTATGCCAGTGTTAGTGTGTGTGTATGCCAGTGTTAGTGTGTGTGTATGCCAGTGTTAGTGTGTGTGTGTATGCCAGTGTTAGTGTGTGTGTATGCCAGTGTTAGTGTGTGTGTATGCCAGTGTTAGTGTGTGTGTACGCCAGTGTGTGTGTGTGTACGCCAGTGTTAGTGTGTGTGTATGCCAGTGTTAGTGTGTGTGTATGCCAGTGTTAGTGTGTGTGTATGCCAGTGTTAGTGTGTGTGTATGCCAGTGTGTGTGTGTGTGTATGCCAGTGTTAGTGTGTGTGTATGCCAGTGTTAGTGTGTGTGTATGCCAGTGTTAGTGTGTGTGTACGCCAGTGTGTGTGTGTGTGTATGCCAGTGTTAGTGTGTGTGTATGCCAGTGTTAGTGTGTGTGTATGTCAGTGTTAGTGTGTGTGTATGCCAGTGTTAGTGTGTGTGTGTATGCCAGTGTGTGTGTGTATGCCAGTGTTAGTGTGTGTGTATGCCAGTGTTAGTGTGTGTGTATGCTAGTGTGTGTGTGTGTGCCAGTGTGTGTGTGTGTGTATGCCAGTGTTAGTGTGTGTGTATGCTAGTGTGTGTGTGTATGCCAGTGTTAGTGTGTGTGTATGCCAGTGTTAGTGTGTGTGTATGCCAGTGTGTGTGTGTGTGTATGCCAGTGTGTGTGTGTGTGTGTATGCCAGTGTTAGTGTGTGTGTATGCCAGTGTGTGTGTGTGTACGCCAGTGTTAGTGTGTGTGTATGCCAGTGTGTGTGTGTGTACGCCAGTGTTAGTGTGTGTGTATGCCAGTGTGTGTGTGTGTACGCCAGTGTTAGTGTGTGTGTACGCCAGTGTTAGTGTGTGTGTAAGCCAGTGTGTGTGTGTGTATGCCAGTGTGTGTGTGTGTACGCCAGTGTTAGTGTGTGTGTACGCCAGTGTTAGTTAGTGTGTATGCCAGTGTGTGTGTACGCCAGTGTTAGTGTGTGTGTACGCCAGTGTTAGTGTGTACGCCAGTGTGTGTGTGTGTACGCCAGTGTGTGTGTGTGTATGCCAGTGTGTGTGTGTATGCCAGTGTGTGTGTGTGTGTATGCCAGTGTGTGTGTGTATGCCAGTGTGTGTGTGAGAGAGATCGATAATGCATTCTCCCATCAAGGCGCCTCGTGGGATTCACTCAACAGAGAAATTCACTCAACACCAGCCCCGCTCACCCCCACGTGGACACGTGTACAGGGCCGTACGTGGACGCGTGTACAGGGGCCGTACATGGACACGTGTACAGGATCGTACGTGGACACGTGTACAGGGCCGTACGTAGACACGTGTACAGCGTCGTACACGTAGACACGTGTACAGGGGTCGTACGTGGACGCGTGTACAGGGGTCGTACGTGGACACGTGTACAGGGGCCGTACGTGGACGCGTGTACAGGGGTCGTACGTAGACTCGTGTACAGGGGTCTTACGTGGACACGTGTACAGGGCTGTACGTGGACACATGTGCAGGGGTCGTACGTGGACACGTGTACAGGGGCCGTACGTGGTCACGTGTACAGGGTCGTACACGTGGACACGTGTACGGGGCCGTACACGTGGACACGTGGTCACGTGTATAACATTACGCAGCTCAAATATTTAGTATACCCGTGTGCCATACGCTCCCCCCCCCCACCTCGCCTCCTCTTTCGCCTTGCGTATCGCATCCCTCCCGCCCGTCGACTCTCTGCCTCCTGCATGACGGACGCACCGCGGGGAAACCCCTCATCCAGCAGTGGATGGAGAACAACAACCACAACAAGAGGAGCAAGAGGAGGAGGGCTATAGCGTTCGGACTCTTGAGAGATCCTTCGACCACGCTCTGCCCTCTCCCTCCCTCCCTCTCCTCCACCCCTCATTATCTCCCATGCAATGGCACCCCCCCCCCCCCGCCGCCTCGCTCCATCCCTCTCCCACCCACCCACACCCAGACCCATATAAAGGGCAGCGCGATTGACCGGCAGTGTGAGCGGCGGAGTGGCGGTGGCCGTGGCGTTGTGCGGCTCTCTCTCTCTCTCGTGTGGTGCCACTCTCACTGCTGTCGACCACACAGCACGCAACACTCCTACTACTCACCACCACTAAAACCCACCCCCCCCAACCTCCCTCCTCAACCACCACCAATCCCAACCCTATAGCCACTCCCCCCCCACCCCCAGCCCCCCCATTCATTCCTCACCACCCGATGAAAGCCAACAACTCACCACCACCACCACCACCACCTCACTCACCACCCCCTAGGGCTGCGGGCAGATCGCCCCACCGACCGCGGCCGCCAATGACGACGCCGACGCCGCTGACGGCGGTGGCGGTGGTGGCGATGGTGGTGGCGCTGTCCGGCGCGCCACCGTCTCGAGCCTCGGCGGCGATGGTCTCGACGGTTCGGGCGAGACCTCCGCCGGGGCTGAGGTCGCTTCTCGTGGGGGCTTCGGCCGCACGCCTCGGGCTGCAAATGCAGCAGCTGCGTGCGGGGATGGAGTACGGGGGGTTGAGGACCCTCGTGAAGAAGGGAGTGCTACGTGGGCAGAGAGTACGGCCGCTGCTGAGACCGCATTTGGAGTTCGCGCTCGGTGAGTTTGGGGCAGTGGATGCGTTGTGGTCAAGGGGAGTGGGGCAGTGGGTCTGGGGGGGGGGGGGGCGGAGTATCTAAATGTATAGTGAGGAGCGGTGGTGCAGTGGTTAGCGCAAGGCGCTGCGATCCCAGCGACCGCGAGTTCGATCCCCCCACTCTCACGGTCCAACATCGGTGACGAATACCTCTGGACCGGTGCAGGGCCTCCATCCCCTAGGTCGACTCAGCCTTAAATGAGTTATTGGTGTGTTAAAATAAAATGAAATAAATCAGCAGTGGTGAAGACAAAAGGCGGCCGGGCGTGGTGTGGGTCACATTAACCCCCTCGTCTTTCCGTGGCGGCCTTCATCGGTGCTACTCGCTGTACCAGCACTTGCCCCAGCAGTCTGGTAGAGGCTATACGGGGGATCTTTGTCTTGGGGAGCGGGAGTGCAACGGTGAGCGCTACGCTGTGCTCGAAGCGAGTTCGGGTCCCCGCTCACGGTAAACACCGGTGACGATTATCTGAACCGATACTGGGGCTCCCCTAGGTAGACTCAGCCGCAAATGAGTACCTGGTGCGGTGTGTAAACATCGCCATTGGGGAGACAAAGGCGGTCGGGCGTGGTGCTGGCCACCCCCCCCCCCCCCCCCCCCGTGTGCCGTGCCGGCCTTCACAGGTGCTGCTACTCGCTATGCCAGCACTTGCCCCAACAGTCTGTTAAAGGCTATACGGAGGACATTTGTCTTTTCTCCGCGTGTAACGTGTGTATGGTTTCGTGGTGTGGAGCGTGTGTGTGTGGAGTGTGTGTGGCGTGTGTGTGCGTGTGTGTGTGGAGTGTGTCTGTGTGGAGTGTGTCTGTGTGGAGTGTGTGTGTGTGTAGCGTGTATGTGTGTGTGTGGAGTGTGTGGCGTGTGTGTGTGGAGTGTGTGTGGCGTGTGTGTGCGTGTGTGGAGTGTGTGTGTGTGGAGTGTGTGTGTGGAGTGTGTGTGTGGAGTGTGTGTGGAGTGTGTGTGGCGTGTGTGTGTGTGGCGTGTGTGTGGCGTGTGTGTGTGTGTGTGGCGTGTGTGTGGCGTGTGTGTGTGGAGTGTGTGTGGCGTGTGTGTGCGTGTGTGGAGTGTGTGTGGCGTGTGTGTGTGGAGTGTGTGTGGAGTGTGTGCGTGTGTGTGGCGTGTGTGTTGCGTGTGTGTGGAGTGTGTCTGTGTGGAGTGTGTGTGTGTAGCGTGTATATGTGTGTGTGTGTAGTATGTTGATAGTGTGTGTGTGGAGTGTGTGTGTGTGTGGATAGTGTGTGTATGTGAATAGTGTGTGTGCGGAGTGTGTGTGTGGAGTGTGAGTGTGTGTGTGGCGTGTGTGTGTGGTGTGTGTGGTGTGTGTGTGTGTGCGTGCACACGAACGAGTAAAGCGAGGGTGTACACGCTACTCGCTCTCTATCGCCTTGTGCGTGGCACTCAACTGGAGGCGAACTACTCGGTCCACCGATGATGCTGCTGCAACTGCCGTGAATGTTTCGAGCGAGACTCGGAGCGACGTGGAGCTCCCTCACTCACTCACTCCTCTCTCTCTGTCTGTCTCTCGACTGAGAGTGTCTTCTGTGAGTGAAACCAATCAACACCCGTCGCTCCGGGCGTTCCACATTCTCCAGATTTTCTGTGTCTCATTTATTATTGTAGCAAGACCAAAAAAAAACTCAATAATGTGCGGTGGTGTTAAGCGTGGGACTCGACTCCAGCTACGCTCGTGCCGAAAGTCGCCTCCATCTCCAGCTCCTGTCGAACACGATGAGAATTCACGCGAGTCGCTCGCTACCGCCACTACGACTGCGATAGCCCTGCTCGTGTTGAGCCTGAGCTGCGTGTGTGAATCCGTGAGCAGTCAGTGTGTGTATGTGTGTGTGTGAATCCGTGAGCAGTGTGTGTGTGTGCGTGTGTGAATCCGTGAGCAGTGTGTGTGTGTGCGTGTGTGTGCGTGAGTGAATCCGTGAGCAGTGTGTGTATGTGTGTGTGTATGTGTGTGTGTGAATCATTGAGCAGTGTGTGTATGTGTGTGTGTATGTGCGTGTGTGAGCAGTCAGTGTGTGTGTGTGTGTGCGTGTGTGAATCCGTGAGCAGTCAGTGTGTGTGTGTGGTGTATGTGAATCCTTGAGCAGTGTGTGTATGTGTGTGTGTATGTGCGTGTGTGAGCAGTCAGTGTGTGTGTGTGTGTGCGTGTGTGAGCAGTCAGTGTGTGTGTGTGTGTGCGTGAGTGAATCCGTGAGCAGTCAGTGTGTGTGTGTGTGTATGTGTGTGTGTGAATCCGTGAGCAGTGTGTGTGTGTGCGTGTGTGAATCCGTGAGCAGTGTGTGTGTGTGCGTGTGTGTGCGTGAGTGAATCCGTGAGCAGTGTGTGTATGTGTGTGTGTATGTGTGTGTGTGAATCCTTGAGCAGTGTGTGTATGTGTGTGTGTATGTGCGTGTGTGAGCAGTCAGTGTGTGTGTGTGTGTGCGTGTGTGAATCCGTGAGCAGTCAGTGTGTGTGTGTGTGTATGTGAATCCTTGAGCAGTGTGTGTATGTGTGTGTGTATGTGCGTGTGTGAGCAGTCAGTGTGTGTGTGTGTGTGCGTGTGTGAGCAGTCAGTGTGTGTGTGTGTGTGCGTGAGTGAATCCGTGAGCAGTCAGTGTGTGTGTGTGTGTATGTGCGTGTGTGAATCCGTGAGCAGTCAGTGTGTGTGTGTGTGTATGTGCGTGTGTGAATCCGTGAGCAGTCTGTGTGTGTGTGTGTGTATGTGCGTGTGTGAATCCGTGAGCAGTCTGTGTGTGTGTGTGTGTATGTGCGTGTGTGAATCCGTGAGCAGTGTGTGTATGTGTGTGTGTCTGTGTGTATGTGAATCCTTGAGCAGTGTGTGTATGTCTGTGTGTGCGTGTGTGAGCAGTCTGTGTCTGTGTGTGTGTGTGTGAGCAGTCAGTGTGTGTGTGTGTGTGCGTGTGTGAATCCGTGAGCAGTCAGTGTCTGTGTGTGCGTGAGTGAATCCGTGAGCAGTGTGTGTGTGTGTGTGCCTGTGTGAATCCTTGAGCAGTGTGTGTGTGTGTGTATGTGCGTGTGTGAATCCGTGAGCAGTGTGTGTATGTGTGTGTGTATGTGCGTGTGTGAATCCTTGAGCAGTGTGTGTATGTGTGTGTGTATGTGCGTGTGTGAATCCGTGAGCAGTCAGTGTGTGTGTATGTGTGTGTGTATGTGCGTGTGTGAATCCGTGAGCAGTCAGTGTGTGTATGTGTGTATGTGCGTGAGTGAATCCGTGAGCAGTGTGTGTATGTGTGTGTGTATGTGCGTGTGTGAATCCGTGAGCAGTCAGTGTGTGTGTGTGTGTATGTGCGTGTGTGAATCCTTGAGCAGTGTGTGTCTGTGTGTGTGTATGTGCGTGTGTGAATCCTTGAGCAGTGTGTGTCTGTGTGTGTGTATGTGCGTGTGTGAATCCTTGAGCAGTGTGTGTGTGTGTATGTGCGTGTGTGAATCCTTGAGCAGTGTGTGTGTGTGTATGTGCGTGTGTGAATCCTTGAGCAGTGTGTGTATGTGTGTGTGTATGTGCGTGTGTGAATCCTTGAGCAGTGTGTGTATGTGTGTGTGTATGTGCGTGAGTGAATCCGTGAGCAGTGTGTGTATGTGTGTGTGTATGTGCGTGAGTGAATCCGTGAGCAGTCTGTGTGTGTCTGTGTGTGCGTGTGTGAGCAGTCTGTGTCTGTGTGTGTGTGTGTGAGCAGTCAGTGTGTGTGTGTGTGTGCGTGAGTGAATCCGTGAGCAGTGTGTGTATGTGTGTGTATGTGCGTGTGTGAATCCGTGAGCAGTCTGTGTGTGTCTGTGTGTGCGTGTGTGAGCAGTCTGTGTCTGTGTGTGTGTGTGTGAGCAGTCAGTGTGTGTGTGTGTGTGCGTGAGTGAATCCGTGAGCAGTGGTGTGTATGTGTGTGTGTATGTGCGTGTGTGAATCCTTGAGCAGTGTGTGTATGTGTGTGTGTATGTGCGTGTGTGAATCCTTGAGCAGTGTGTGTATGTGCGTGTGTGAATCCGTGAGCAGTCAGTGTGTGTGTGTGTATGTGCGTGTGTGAATCCGTGAGCAGTGTGTGTGTGTGTGTGTATGTGCGTGTGTGAATCCGTGAGCAGTGTGTGTATGTGTGTGTGTGTGCGTGTGTGAATCCGTGAGCAGTGTGTGTGTGTGTGTATGTGCGTGTGTGAATCCGTGAGCAGTCAGTGTGTGTGTGTGTGTATGTGCGTGTGTGAATCCGTGAGCAGTGTGTGTCTGTGTGTGTGTGTGCGTGAGTGAATCCGTGAGCAGTGTGTATGTGCGTATGTGCGTGTGTGAATCCTTGAGCAGTGTGTGTATGTGTGTGTGTATGTGCGTGTGTGAATCCTTGAGCAGTCAGTGTGTGTGTGTGTGTGAACAGTCAGTGTGTGTGTGTGTGTGCGTGTGTGAGCAGTCTGTGTCTGTGTGTGTGTGTGTGAGCAGTCAGTGTGTGTGTGTGTGTGTGAGCAGTCAGTGTGCGTGTGTGAGCAGTCTGTGTCTGTGTGTGTGTGTGTGAGCAGTCAGTGTGTGTGTGTGAGCAGTCAGTGTGTGTGTGTGTGTGAGCAGTCAGTGTGTGTGTGTGTGTGAGCAGTCAGTGTCTGTGTGTGTGTGTGTGAGCAGTCAGTGTGTGTGTGTGTGTGAGCAGTCAGTGTGTGTGTGTGTGTGAGCAGTCAGTGTGTGTGTGTGTGTGAGCAGTCAGTGTCTGTGTGTGTGTGTGAGCAGTCAGTGTGTGTGTGTGAACAGTCAGTGTCTGTGTGTGTGCGCGTCGTGGAGAGCGGTGGCGTTGTGGTTAGCGCTGCGAACCCCGGCCACCCGACTTCGATTCTCTCGCTCTACGGCCAACGGTTCGGATAATCGGCGGCGATTATCCGAACCGTGGCCGGGCATCCCCTAGGTCCACTCAGCCTCAAATGAGTCCAGCAGATGGTGCGGTGTGTAAAACAACGCCACTGGGGAGACAAAGGTGGCCGGGGCATGCTGCTGGC